CTGCGTGGCGGACTCGGTGTGCCAGGCGTAGGCTCAGGAGGGATGGGGAGGAGTCAACCGAATTTGGTCGTCGATACGGGCGTGGTTAGCGCTACTAGCGTTGGAAGCGCTGTGGGAGTTGGGAGGGCGAGTATGGATGCTGTTGGGAGTGGGCGGAGTCCGATGAGCCCCTCAGGATTTGGAGGGTTTGGGTCGATGGGTGAACCGATGAGTGCTGGAGTGGGTTCAACAGGCGCGAATAGTGGGTTGATTCCGCCCCCGCCACCAGTGCTGAAGGCGAGCTCGAGTACGGGGTCTGTAGCTGTTGTTGAGGATAGTGGGGAGAACGAAGATGGAAAGGACGCCAAGGGCGTTTATGATACGTCGAGCAAGCAGCGTGTTCCTAGCTGGTTCGTCTTGTTTCTCTTTAATCATTTATGCATTGGCTAACGCAACCCCCGTTGTATTAGGTGTGACCGTATCCTCTACAAATCTACTGTCCTCCCGCCCGCTCCACCTCCTTCCCTCACACATTCCCCCTTTCACGCGTCCATATCTGACTCTATGCACGGAGATGATTCGCGCATTAGCCGCCTTTTTGGTGGTATCCGCCGAAAAGGGTCTCGAGGTCGGAAGGATTCGCTGTTGCATGGAAAGGAGCTCGGGCTTGGCCCAGCGCCTTCCCGATCAGGAGGAGCGGTACATGCTCGAGCACAGGACGCAGTCCTTGACGAATCAAGACCGAGTCCATTCTTGAAGCACGCACATGGGGAGGGTGGGGCAGGTGCGCCGCAAGTCGTATTGTCGCCTGCGGAGAACCGACCGGGTGCGGGCAAGAGACCGGATAGCGCAGGGCAGGGGAAAGATTGTGTGGGAAAGCGGCCTGATAGTGCGGGAACGGGAGCAGGCATACGCAAGCGGGCCCATAGCGCAGATCGGCGGCCAGGATCGTCTGGAACAACAAACTCGGAACAACCAGCGTCGATGTTGTGGCCGCGGACGAACCCGTTTGCAAGGTTGCTGCATCCCCATTTACACAATCCGAGTGGGCCAGGGTTGATTCATGCGGTGTCGATGGAGCCACAGCCACAGCCCAGTGTGATTGTGAGTCCAGGTGCAACGCCTAGGCCAAGATCGTTTTCGACGTCCGAGGGGAGGGAGAAGCCTACCGTCGGGAGTCCACCCCGGGGTGTATCCGTTGGCACGCCTCGCCGGCCAGACATTTCCGTAGACTCTTCGCCTGCTCAGACGTTGGTCTCATCGCCCAATGATAACTCGTCACGATGGCGATTTTTCAGACCGTTTACGAGGGATAGCACCGCGCCAACCATGGTTGCAGAGCCTGAACCTGAGCCTGAGCCCGAACCCGAGTCGAAGGTGCAGACGAGGCGTCGCGGAGAGATTGTCTGTGTGACATACGGGACATTAGACGACAAGGCAATGCAGAAGCTCGGGGGGAGGAGTGATCATAGACCCGTTATAGGTACGCCCCGGCTCACATTTTCAGACAAAAAGCTAATATTATGTTCGATAGGGACATACGTAGTGTACATCTAATTTATATCGATAGATAACTTATTTCAGCTTTCTTTTTGTGTTCTTGACCTTTTCTTCAATCGTAATATGTTTTGGAGTTGCACACGGCCGAGTGGAGTGATAAGATTCAATCACGGTGGGTGAATTTCCCACGGGTCCATTTCCCACCGTAGCACTATTTGGACTCGAGAGTTAGCTGGGAAGAACAGCAACTTCTTACGGCGACGACGAACAGAATGGCCAAAGTCGAAAACAAAGTCTGCTTAATGCAAGTTCACTCTTCTTTTGCATTGTTCGTTTGTTAACGTGGTTGCCTGCAGCGTTCACGATGGGTGGGGTGTGTCCGAGGTCGAGAAGGGCAACGCCGTCATAGGCGGAGATACGACTAACATGGACGCCATCGCCAAGTCCCACAGCTCACGAACACTCCAGGCGCACGGTATCGCTGTTGGCCTGAGCGAGGGGCTCATGGGTAACTCTGAAGTCGGGTAAGCCGCCCCATCCCCATATCGCTCTATTTCGCTCACACCCCGCAGCCATTTGAACATCGGCGCTGGACGCATCGTCTGGCAAGACATTGTGAAAATCGACGTTTCTATCAAGAAACGCGAGTTCCACAAGAACAAGACCATCCTCGACAGCTGCAACCACGCCAAGAACACCAGTGGCCGTCTCCACCTCCTCGGTCTCGTCTCCGATGGCGGTGTCCACTCGCACATCCGACACTTGAAAGCGCTCCTCGAGACCGCTAAAGAGGTCGGCGTGCCTAAGACGATCGTGCACTTTGTTGGTGACGGTCGAGATACAGCTCCGAGGTCTTCGGCCGGGTACTTGAAGGATTTGCTGGAGTTTATAGAGAAGGAGAAGTATGGTGAGATTGGGACTGTTGTCGGGCGTTATTATGCGATGGATCGGGATAAGCGGTACGTACAGGCGTGTCGGAGTTGAAGCGGTTCTGACTGGGTGTGCAGATGGGAGCGCGTCAAGATCGCTATCGACGGACTGGTATCTGGAGAGGGCGAGACCAGCACTGATCCGGTCGCAACGATTGAGGAGAAGTACAAGAAGGACGAGACGGACGAGTTCCTGAAGCCTATCATCGTCGGTGGAGATGAGAACCGGATTAAAGGTGCGCATTCATAAACTCTGCTGGTACCATTATTCACTTTAGATCATAGACAACGACACTATCTTCTTCTTCAATTACCGTTCCGACCGTATGCGAGAGATCGTGTCTATATTTGGTGTTGATCCCAAGCCAATGGAGGTCACTGTGCCGAAAGATCTGGTATGTATCCACTAGCATACATCTACCTTCCTAACCTCTGATGGAACGCAACAGCACATCACCACTATGTCAAGATATAATGCCGAATTCCCCTTCCACATCGCATTCCCTCCTCAAGCCATGACCAACGTCCTGGCCGAGTGGCTCGCGAAGAAGGGCGTCAAGCAATGTCACATCGCCGGTTCGTCGTTCCTTGACACCACACACCCACCTACTGAAACAACATTCATTATAGAAACTGAGAAGTACGCACACGTCACGTTCTTCTTCAACGGCGGAGTAGAGAAGCAGTTTGACCAAGAAGACCGAGAGCTGGTACCTTCGCCCAAGGTCGCGACATACGACAAGCAGCCCGAGATGAGCGCCCAAGGTGTTGCAGACAAGGTCGCCGAGACGGTTACCAAGGGCGATTACGAGTTTGTGATGTGCAACTTTGCCCCTCCGGACATGGTATGCCTGCCCACGAATACCTGATGCGATTGTTTGACCTGATTGTGTAGGTTGGGCACACCGGTGTTTACGAGGCCGCTGTGCAGGCCATCAGCGCAACAGACAAAGCTGTCAAGGTGTGTATTCATGCCTATTCACTGACACGGTCTTATTCTGATGTGATTCATAGACCGTGTATGATGCCTGCCAGAAAGCTGGATACATCCTCGCCATCACCGCCGACCATGGCAACGCAGAACAGATGATCAACCCCGAGACTGGCAACCCGCACACTGCGCATACCACCAACCCTGTGCCGTTTATCATTACTGGTGACCCAGCCAAGTACGGTTTGGCGGGCGACGCCGAGGATGGTGAGGACGAGGATGGCAAGGGCGCATTGGCGGATGTTGCGCCTACGGTTTTGGATCTTATGGGATTGGAGAAGCCTGAAGGTAAGCTGTTGGATGTGGGGCGCTTGACGGAGTATTAATGTTGTTTTGCGCAGACATGAGCGGCCGGTCGCTCCTTTTGCGGAAATAAGTAGTCGAGTGCATAGCTGAATAGATGAAATACAGCACAGAGCTAGAGGAATATTGTATCAAAACTTTAACTGAATATATTCACGTACTCATTCATACAACAACTATGCACTACCCGGCAGGTTTCGAATCTCAAAGTCAACCGCACAGAACCCAACACGAGGGAGTTCAAGTACAAGAGGCTATGAAGATAGGGCTGTCACCGAATGCACTCGTGCATCTGAAATGCAAGTGAGGTGTACGGTATCGTATCTTCTGCGCCTGGCTGAGGTCTAAAACGCAGAGGTCAATTCAACCGCACAATATACCAAGGGTTATGAGCAACTTACTCGACAGGTCCCAACACCTTAAGCCCTCGAATATGCGTATCCTTTCCGTTCATGTAATTCGCGGCAATGACAATTTGGATCGCGTAACAATGCAGGGGGCGACTGGTGTAAAATCGGCGATCATTAGTGTCGACTGGAGTGCACTTGGCGATTAAAACAAAAGAGATAAATCAATGAACTCACGCGCTCAATCCATCTTCCGACGGATCCATAGACACGTCAAAATCCAGCCACTCGTTGGGCTTCTCGAATCCGACGTATCTCACTTCTTGCAAGTCGTTCAAACTCATCCCTACAACTCCACAGTTAGAACCTGAGCAACCGAGCAACGAGATAGAGGGACTGCGTACCTGCACGAATAGCGAGGCGTATAGGGGTGTATGAATCATCCTGGCTGAACTTGAGAAGTATAGCGATTTTCTGCCAAAGAACAGGGTAAGACCGCGTCAAGACTAATTACAGTGTGATAGTAAAACGCACCTGTACGGCTACTTTCTTATGAAACTGCAGAGTAATATAATGAGGCTGTGGCCCATCGCTCCTACAACCCATCTCCGCATTAGTACACCACACGTATAAAGTCACCCACAGAACACTCACTGCCAAAACGTCTCCGGGTCGTCGTCGCGTAAACAATCAACATTAAACCCGTACTTGAAGCTGGACACGCTCCATGTCGCGAGGTGCCCGATGTCAGGCAGCTTGCCCTGATAATGTTCTGGTTTCAAAGTTAGAATCCAAAGTAGGCAGTGGTGGGTGGTGGTGGTGGTAGGGACAAACCTGTCATCGTGCCACGCCAACAAGCGCCGAGCGCAAACCTTATTTTACTAGCCAACATTCAGTGTGGCACAGTAGAGTGGATTATTTCCGCAGCTAGCAAAAAGGTGGATAAAATAATTCCCGCTACCTGGATCGAACAGATGACCTCGTCATATATCGACCAAGCTAATACTAGTGACGCGCTCTACCACTGAGCTAAGAGGGAGTGATTCCGAACTTAGAAATAGAGACATATCACTTGTACGGTTAACTATGTTACATTTATAGTTCAGCTAGGTACCATCAATTTTGTACATGCATGTCTAGCGCTGCGCGCTCTTTTCCACTATATGCATTGCCCACACACTACTTCACAGGTCTCCCGTCTCACCTGCATCAGGAAACCCGGGAGCATTCCGTGAGTGCTCGGAAGTGGCAAAAGTAGCCAAAGTGGCTCGAGACAAGGTCCCCCTTTTCAGATACTTGCAAGCACTTTGAAAGTACTCGGCGAGCTTAGTCAGCATGTCAGAATTGATGTAGATAGAGACAGAAATGTTATCTCACCAATTAACCATTCGTTTTGGCTGCTTTTTGCACCATTGGAAGCGCATCGCAAAACTACCCTACAGACCTCCAATGTGTGAGCACTCTTGATGAGGAACAGTGTATGTAGCAACAATTAAGTCTCCGGATGGTGACAAATCACGTGATCACTCTCGATCACTCTGATGAGCTCCAAACACTTAGCCTGTCTTGTAAGCCAATTGATCACTTGTGCATGGTCAAGTGGAGAGACCATATATGCAGTTTTGCGATGCGCTTCCAATGGTGCAAAAAGCAGCCAAAACGAATGGTTAATTGGTGAGATAACATTTCTGTCTCTATCTACATCAATTCTGACATGCTGACTAAGCTCGCCGAGTACTTTCAAAGTGCTTGCAAGTATCTGAAAAGGGGGACCTTGTCTCGAGCCACTTTGGCTACTTTCGCCACTTCCGAGCACTCACGGAATGCTCCCAGGTTTCCTGATGTGACTCTTTGCATCTTTGGAAACAACTCACAGTCTTTGATTTCTCGATTTGGATTGAGAACAAATGTATGGCTGAAGCTTAGCACATTTCAGTAGCACAGCCACAGGTCATATAACCTGCCTCCTTAGCACTTGAGCAAGACACTCAAAGCTGCCAAAGAGTGTACAATGTAGTGCAAGTGAAATATTACTATGTGAACTTTTCAAAATATTTGCATTGGCATCAAAATTGAGAAAAAAGAATGGTTGGTTAGAAAAATGAAAATGGGTGCACTTTTTTGCCATTTTAGTTCCTAAGCTAAAATGTGGCAGTGCCTCTCCGAAGCTCAGGAAGAGGGCTCTTGCCTCTGACATCCATCAGAGAAAACCCAAAACTCAGCGATGAGCCTGAGGTTCTTCTGGCTCTTTGAGATCATTTTCAATTCAGTAAGTGGCTCTTTGTGTCTCATTTTAATTGGTTATTAGTTTCTTTTGCTTTGGCTCATTTGCTGCTTTGAAGCAGCAAATGAGCTCCAGCTTTCCTCCTTATGTCTCCAACCCTCTCTCAGGCTCTAGGAAGGCTACATTTTTTCCTGATGGCCTGACCTACCAGCAGAGTCTCTCTACAGCACTCTGGAAACCTTGTGAGACACTCTGGAGGCTCCAGAAGCTCTCAGAGCATGTCCAGAGCTTGGTGCAGGTTGCAGATGCAGATACCTCTGGTATCTGGAGACCCAGACACTCAGACTCGGATACACCTCTCATTCACTTGTCTTCCTTCAGACTCTCCTAAGACATTGCTATAGTGGAGGCTTTATCGCATCACTGCAACATCTAAGAAGCCAACACAAAGAGCACAAGCAAAAAGATAATATCCTATACCGAGCACGGGACTCGAACCCGCAGCCTTCGCCTTTCGAAAACATGTTACATAATTGTAACTCTGCTATAGGAGGGCGACGCTCTACCATTGAGCCAACACGGCTTGTTACTTTTCCTCACGGGACATCTATGAGGGTTTGAGCCATGTGACTATTGACCAGCCTTGTTTTTTGTGCCGTAAATAGCCGCCGGCTCTTGGCAAACATCACTCGATCAAACTGAATTGGGTGTGTCGTGTGACGAGCTCCCATCGCTTCCTTGACCAAAGTCTCCCGCCAAACACACTACCGGTCGGCTATGCAGGCAACGTGTGTATGTCAGAATTGTCGCCTGCAGAACGCAGCAGTCTGGCCGAACGCCCCAAGCGACTCCATCCGGGTATTTTTGAACATGTTATCTTTATCACGGACATCCACAACCAATCATGTCTCATGATGTTTACACGTGGGGAGTCTTCTTCGGCGAGATAAGTACCGGAATGACGCTTCATAACCCTTGCGACCTCTCTCCCCCTCTGTCTTCTCGCAAGCGGAACCTCGACCATGGCCGACCCAGCGCAACCGAAAAAAGTGGGACTTTCCCAAATCTCCCTCATCTTTGCGTAAGTTGCATGCACTTCAAGCACTCTCCTTACTAACCCTGTTGTAGCTGCGGCACTGCTCTCTTCTCTGACGGTATTCGAGTATTTTCTCGTGGGTTGACAGTATTCTCATGATTTCTGACAGGTTACGCCAACGGTGTCATTGGGAGTGGTGAGTACTTGTAGTCTGACATGAGCTTCAGCCAAAGTTTGACGACTTCTTTCAGTAAACACGAGTATGTAGCTGGTGGCCATATTCATTCGCTTCGATTCAAGCTCATGAGACCCGCAGTCCTACGACGGATCTATCCCGAGGAATTGGCCAAGCACAACTATGGCACCACGCTTTCTTCCCTTGCATTTGCGGGGACAATTGTCGGAATGGTCAGTGCTTTCTGGGTACTTTTACTCGGACTAATCCCTCGCTAGCTGTCGTTTGGGTATCTGAGTGACAAAGTCGGGCGCAAGTTCGGAATGGTGAGTCTATTTACAACTACGTCGGCTCTTCCTGACACTCCTCAATGTAGATGTCGGCTACGGTAATTGTCGCCGTATTCTCGTTCCTTTCGGCATGCTCCTCTGGAGCACATGGGAGTATCGGGGGTATGTTGGCCATGCTCAGCGCTTGCCGGTATGGTCTTTTTATTGTTTTCATTTGGGCACAACTCACAGCGTTCGGCTAGCTTCTTGCTGGGGATTGGCGTATGTAGTTCTACCAGTGCTATACGATGAATCTCACAAATTACTCTAGGTTGGAGCAGAGTACCCATCAGGTTCCGTCGCTGCATCAGAACAGTCAGAGGAATCGACCATCTCCAAAAATGCGCAACATCGTTGGTTTGCACTAGCAACAAGTGAGCGTTTCCAGCTCTAAGAACGTTCTTACTTACCAACTCGGATTCAGACACCATGATCGACACTGGATTCGTCATTTCAGCATTCACCCCTCTCGTACTATTGTGGATGTAAGTCGTTATTTCTTTAACGCTAATACTAGGCTCACAATATCAGCTTTGGTGAGAACCACCTGCGCGCAGTATGGCGTGGCTCGCTCGGCCTTGGTGTCTTCCCTGCGCTCGCTGTCCTCATCTGGCGTTTGCGCATGCAAGAGCCTACTCGGTACCAGCGCGACTCTATGCGGAACGCCAAGGTCCCCTATTGGCTTATCTTCAAGCGTTACTGGGCTAGCTTGGCAGCTATCAGCATCACTTGGTACGTATGAACGACCATATTTTAGTGTCTGTTCTAAGACAATAAATAGGTTCATCTATGACTTTATCACGTATGTTCTTTCTTCATTTTAATGGAGCACTAACAAAACGGCCGATTCGTTAACAGATACCCAGTGAGTAACTTGTCCATGGCGAAATCCTACACTCACGCTCAGATCTACTAGTTCGGCATTTACTCGTCGACCGTTGTAGACAACATCATTGGTGGAACGGACAGCTTATATCAGATTTTTGGATGGAATATCATCATCAAGTAAGTTGTGCTTAATCTTTCTACGACGTCTTACAATATCGCATTCAGTCTGTTCTACATTCCCGGAACAGTCATTGGTGCATTTGTCGTAGACTATCTCGGGCCCAAGTACACCATGGTGAGTTATTTCTAGGTTACGCCAACTTTACTGAGACGGCCACCCGAATAGATTGTTGGGTTGGTTTGCCAGGCGATTATCGGATTTGGAATGAGCGGCGGATACATACAGTAAGTCCTAGGCTCCTCGTGCTCCACGCTCTTCAACTAATCTCAACACATCTTAGCCTACAGAAGCACATTGCTGGGTTCGCGGTAAGTTTAGAACATACTGATTATCGCATACATATGGCTGACAGGATGCTCTTTAATTGTGCGTCAGGTACTCTATGGCATCTTCCTGTCCTTTGGCGAGTTCGGACCCGGCAATTGCCTCGGACTCTTAGCATCTAAAAGCGGCCCGACAGCCGTGCGCGGTCAGTTCTATGGTGTCGCGGCAGCTATAGGCAAAGTTGGAGCCTTCGTAGGCACCTGGGGTGAGTAAGGCTTGTTCCAAAACCAAAAATCACCTAGCCGGATGTGTATCCTCCCGATTTCATCTATCTTGTGTTTCTGATTGACATGGTACTGACAATCACCTGACATAGCGTTCCCTCCGATGATTGACGGTAAGTTGTGTATTGCACTCGTGCTAGCTCGGAACTGATCTGGTGGACTTGTTTAGCTTTTGGCGGTGCATCCTCTACTCGGGGCAATACTGGACCATTCTGGGTCGGCAGCGGTGCGTTATTTTAGCACGCGCATGATTGACACGCCACTCACTCTAGCCCTTTCACAATTGTGTTCTAGGACTCGCGATTTTGAGCGCTCTGATTACGTTGTTCTTCATTCGGCCGCTATCGCACGACGGAATGATGGACGAGGATGCCAAGGTGAGTTTAGCGCAGCTTCAGCAGCATCGTCAATCAGCACTTCAACGACAATCTGACCACTTTCGGTCCTTTTCACGCCACACGTGCGGCATTCCACAGTTCCGTGAATACCTCGCGGCGCACGGATATGACACCAGCAAAATGGGCCTCACTTCCGTAAGTGACGTCGACAGCGTCGAAGGCCAGCATTCTGGCCCCATCCCTGCAGAGAAGGAAAAGGCCTCGTATTAGTTTCTGTTACTTACGACTTCATGCCCCTGATGTTTGTTTTCTTGGTGCCATGCCGCCTGTTGTTTCACTTTACCTTCTAATGAGTGTATGTTACGAATTCCAGATGTTGCGCAATGCGCAAGCAATTGAGATACCTTTTTGTCATCGAGTAGAACGGGAATACCTCCGGTTGACGACCCCTACTCCGAGTTCGACGCCCCAAAGAAGGCAGGACAAAGCAGCAGAATCCTTTGGGTAGATATTATAATTCACACGTTTGAGGACATCATTACAGCTCGAACAAAGTGAGCGCAGAGGTAGGCCTAGTTTCCCTGGTTGAGCTGCCAAATCGATCTAGTTAGAACCAATAGCATAGCCCCAGGAGGTATGTGCACCCACCTTGCCCCATTCCGTCCCTAAACACATCAATGGGTCATTGGCGTAGGCTCATTAGGCCGCGCGGCCTGCTGCTTTGCAACTTCTTCCCTATTGTTCGTTCAAAATGGTCATGAAACGTCCAAGATTAAATAGTACCTATGCTTACCGCAGTTGCTTGCTAAAGTCATCTTCGACATCGTCGTCGTCCCAATTATCCTCCCACAGATTATCTGGTGCGGCTTTGTTGGCTCCGGACGCTCCAGAATTCGCAAGACTCGCAATATCCGTGTCTCGATCCTCCCAGTCTACAAACATGAGGTGATTCACATAGCAGCTTGCGGCGACATTGACATACCTTGTGCAGGAAACTCCTCGAATTCATCATCCTCCTCTAGCACACCCAGAGCGGGTATTTGCTTCTTCTTTGGTGCGTCGACCTCCATCTTAGTCTCGGCGGGGGTTTTGGCGGATGAGCTCATGGTGGTGGAAGACGACGCGTCGCCTACCCTGAAGAGTAACCTAAGTCATGCTGCACCGGCCCTGAACAACTAGTGGCCGCAATGGTAACGAAGATGGCCCAAACTGCACCCGGCAGCCATCTGAGCGCCAGCACACGCCGTAGCTATGCCCGTGCCCCCTTTCACGTCTGTCGTTTCTCTAGACGGTCGCACCTGGACTGCCCCGATTCCAAGTTGTGCCAAAATCGCCGAGAACAACCATGGTAAGCTGCAGGATGTATATAGGGCTATGAGCGAGGCCCGGAGGATCGTCGTGCTCTGCGGTGTGTTGTCAAGGATAACTCGAGACATCTTGTTTATTGAACAGAGACACTTTCCAGGTGCTGGTATATCGGTGCATGCTGGGATCCCGGATTTTCGATCGCCCAGCGGTCTATTCCAGAGTCTTAAACGGGATCATCCAAAGGAAAATATCTCATCGGGGCGGGACCTCTTTGACTCTGCAGTTTTCAAAGTGTGTTTATTTCTGATTTCTAATATACGTCAGATTTATCCCTTTGCAGTCGGAGGAAACTACGAGTGTGTTCTACAAGATGATATCACATCTTGCAACGCTATCTGAATCGGCGGAACCGACGCCTTTTCATTCTATGCTACAAGATCTAGACTCGCGCGGACAACTGCTTCGTGTCTACACTCAAAATATTGACGCTCTGGAAGAGCGCGCAGGACTATCATTTGGCATACCTACGTTCCCATCTCGCACCCGAAAGCGCAAAGTGGCAACCCTTGATGGCTCTCCGGCGACTCCTGCTCGAAGTAGCTCGTCTGAAGTATCACCATCCCCTCCTCAGTTACTCACACCGCCTCGTACTGCACATGCATCAAACTTGACATCGCCGTCTTCGACACCTACACCGTCCACTCAATTACCTCGCTGTGTTCCTCTTCACGGCACGCTGCGAAACCTCTACTGTCCCTCGTGCTATCATACCTTGCCACTCTGTACTCCGCAGCATCTTAAAACGCTAAGCTGTGGCAATTCTTTAGCATGTCCTCAGTG